TGGCCAGTAGCCAGGCAGGAAGTAAAGGCAGGACAAAGAGAGAGGGGAATTCTGGGAATAGGAAGGGAGGGTAAGGAATTGCCAGCCAGACACTGAAGAAGCAAGATGTAAAGATACTGGTAAGCCACATGGCAAGGTATAGATTTATAGAAATGGGTTAATTTAAGATGTAAGATCTAACTAGCAAGAAGCTTGAGCCATTGGGCCATACAGTTTTAATTAATATAAGCCTCTGAGTGTTTATTTGGGTCTGAGTGGATGTGGGCCCGGGTGGGACTGGAGAAAACTCCAGCTACAGAACATTGATACTCTACCACCAACGGCAATTCTGGAACACTTAGTAAAGTTTTTCTACTTTTAAAAATGATTCAGGTGAAGAATATAGCTCAGTGGAAATTCACTGATGCTTGGTGTTCCATCCCCAGTGTTAGCAATGATAATGACTATAATTATTATGATAAAGTGATTTATTTGTCTCAAAAGTAATTCTCATGATTTAGTGACAGATCCAGCAAAGCACAATTTGGGGCAGGAATTGGAGTTAACAGAGTTCTCTATTGGGCATTTATAAATTACCTTTTTTAATCAGAAAATCAACTGCTCTATAGAATTGAACGTCAAGTAGGAGTATTTTTCCTAGTGTTATGAAAATATTTAAATCAACTATCTCTTTTTTTTTTTTTTTTTGAGACAGGATTTCTCTGTGTAGCTTTGGAGCCTGTCCTGGAACTCATTCTGTAGACCAGACTGGCCTTGAACTCAGAGATCCACCTGCTTCTGCCTCCCGAGTGCTGGGATTAAAGGTATGCACCACTGCCGCCCAGCTTATTTCATATTTTAAAAATTATTTTCTCCTTGATTTTTATGAAAAATAGAAAGGAAACAATGTAAAAGAGCTCAGCATTATAAGCTCATCTACTTTGGAATTTAAAATCCAAAAGATTTCTAAAAAGAAGGGAAATAAATAAGCTAAGAGTGAGGCTGGCAGCACAGCTCAGAGGCAGATCTAGCCTAGTACACGAGGAGGCTCCACAGCCAATGCCCAGGAAATCAACTTCAATGTTACACATGAGCTCAATTTCAGTTCTCATATATGAACATAAAAATAAATGTGTTCGCCTTTGCACATGCAAAGTTAATTATCTTTAGTTTGGGAGTTCAAATTTAGAAATATGTCCCGTACTAAAGACTAAACTAAAACCTGAAATACCTTCTTTTTCTATATCCCATTTTCTCCTATCATATTGTATCAGCTTTAACTTCCAAAACATTTCAAAGTCATCTAGTAATTACTGGTGTTACTGAGCAGTCCAATCATCTTTATCTTTAGATTAAATTTACTAAACCAAGCATGGTGGTGTAAGCATTTAATCCTGGCACTCAGGAGGCAAAAACAAGCAGATCTCTGTGGGTTTGAGGCCAGCCTGGTGTACACAGTGAGTTCCAGGCCAACCACTGCCAGTCTCAAAAATAAAAGCTAACAAAAGAACTTGTATAGCAGCTTCCTAAGTATCTGACTTTTGTCCTCTCCTCTTACCCGAACTCCATATGACAACATATATGTGACCTTCTAAGTGTAGTTTCTATCATGCTATTCTTCCATTATAGAAGCTTCCCATTTCAACTACTATGAAATACTTATTCCCAGCTTTGATCTTCCATGATCTGGATCTTGCCTGATCCTCCAAGCTCACTTCACAGCATTTTTCTCTCCATCACACATTCCAAACATATCTGTCATCTTTGCCCCTCACATAGGTATATACTCATGTTCACAGTCTACACATTTTCTGTTTACTATTTTAGAAACATCGTCCCTCAGCTACTGGACTTTGCTTTTTTTACAATGAAAGTATACAATGATGTAAAAAAAATTCAAACACTACCAGACAACACAGAATAAAAGATGTAGCCAGAGGTTTTCTTCAGTCCTGCCCAGCCCTGTGGTCTTGCTTGCAGCCACTTATAAAATAATCATTCAGGCGCTTAATATTATTTACAAACTGTATGGCCTCTGGCAGGCCTCTTGTTAGCTAGCTCTTATATCTTAAATTAACCTATTTCTATCAATCTATGTTTTGTATTATGTTCCGTGGCATTACCTGCACCCCGTTACATGTTGCTCCTTCAGTAGCTGTCTTGAGTCTCTCCAGACTCCATCCTTTCTCTTTCCTGTCTCTCTCCTTGGATTTCCCGCCTGCCTCTAAGTTGCCTTGCCATAGGCCAAAGCAGCTTATTTATTAACCAATGGGAACAACATATATTCACAGAGTACAGAAAGACATCCCCCAGCAAAAAGAACTACTTAAAATCCTACCAAAAAGAATTACCACTAATATTTTGGAAATAATCCTTTGTATGTAACTTTGTAGGTGTATGTGCCACTATATGCTGCATATAGTCTTCACAGATTTCAACTTTTCCCATACTTGTTCTTCAATTCAAACACCACGTCCTAAAAGAAGGTCTCCCAGGACCAGGACCTTCCTCAAGAAACCCTTTTTTTAATCACATCATTTGTCTTCCTTCATTGCACATATTTCTCTCCAAATTAACTATGTCTTTGTTAACTTGTCTCTATTTTTTAGATGAATTCAAGGCCCATGAAAGCAGAATCTTACCACTACTTTTCCCATTATTATGGTCTAGACCACTACCTAACACATTGCAGATGCCTAATACTTATAAAGAGAGGAATGTTTTGATAAATGTGAGTGTGTGTGTGTATGTGTGTGTGTGTGTGTGTGTGTGTGTGTGTGTGTGTGTGTGTGTGTGTTTTACTAGGACTTGAACCCAGAGCCTCACATATGCTAGCAAATGTTCTACCAATAAGCTATAGCCCCCCAATACCTTCTGTACTTTCTATTTCTGAGACAGGGTCTCAGTAGGTTGCACAGCCTAAGTCAACTCTCCCTATAGTCTAGGCAGGCCTTGACCTTGTGATCCTCCTGACTCAGTCCCCCAACTAGCTGGGATTACAGGTCTGACTTCAATTAACATTTATAAGCTACAAAATCCTACATTTTTATCTCCTATTAGATTTTTCTCTAAGTTTCATACTCATACTTAACCATCCATTTGACAGCTACAATTGGAAAATACAGTGGTTCACCAAACCTGCTCCTACTCATGTTGTTCACTATTTTGATGAATGATAATACTCTCAAACATCCTAAACTATAAAACTGAATTTTACCCTTGAAATGATTCCTCCTCTTCACCCCATAATAAACCAATCACCAAAAGTCTCTCAATTCTACTTTCTAAATCTCCAATCCATCAATTTCACTCAATCCATCTGCTCTTCTCCCACCCACCCACTACAAAGCATTCATCATTTCTCTTTATCAACTATAACATCCTTCTAGCTTCCTACTCTAGATCCACTCTTACTTCCTTCTAATTATTAGAGCTACACTCTCAGTGGCTATAATGATGTGGCGGTTAATCTTGTCAATTTTGCTGGATTTAGAATCACTTAGGAGAAAGACATCTGGACATGTCTGAGAGGCTTACCTAAAGTAGGAAAAGCTATACTGCATGTGGACAGACCTGTGCTCTGGGCTGGGTCCCAGATTAATTCACCTCACTCTGCTTCCCAACTGCAGATGCAATGTGACCATGCTCCTTCAGCCATGGCTACACCTCCTCTTGCTGCCATGTCACCACCTTACACATATACACTCTGCAGGCCTCAAATTAAACATCAATTTTACAGGAGTTTGGAGTACACAATTCCACAGAAATCCTCCCTCCCAATGCAGCCTTGGGTGATATAATAAATAACACAGTAATCTAGACAAGTGCTGTGAAGGAACTGTGCAGATATAATCCAAGTTATTGATTTTAAGTGGGAGGTTATCATGGATTATCCACATAAATCAGAGATTCGGAAGCTGACCAACAATCTCCCACCAGAGACTCCAAGTAGACTGCTGTCTGATCTCTGGAGACTCAGGCCTATGAGATTCTAAGCAAAGACCTAGTTGATCTGCCTGAGTTTCTGAACTTCAGAGCTCTGATATAATGAATGAGTGTTGTTTTAAGCTGCATAAATTGAGAACAATGGAAAACACAACCAAGATTTTTTCTAGAAGCCTGTCCCCACACTAAGCCTGGGTTAGGGCCCCTGTTAAATGTTCCCATAGCATTTTGTATTTCTCTGTCATAACACTAATCATATTTATTACTTAATATACATAGCCTAAAATTTATAGCCAATGAGTTTCCAATTTTGTTCACCATATACTATTATAACCCAATGTCTACACAATTGTTATTCATAAATGTTCGCTAATTAAATGAAAAGACTTCTTGTTTCCCAAAATCCTCAGCTGAAATACACCTCCTATAAAGTGCCAGATTATGAAATACTTATGAAGGAATGATTAGCTTATAGCAATAATTAAAAAGAAAGGCGTTAGGATGAAAGATACATACTTAGAAGCATTTGGACACATTATTTCAGTTTTACAAATGTTCCATACTCATCACCATACTCCATACACCATATACCATGCCCAATGCCTATAGCAGTGGTTCTCAATCTTCCTAATGCTGTGACCCTTAATACCATTCCTCGTGTTGTAGTGATCCCCAACCATAAAATTATTTTCGTTGCTACTTCATAACTGTAATTTTGCTACTGTTATGAACTGTAATATACAGGATATCTGATATGCAACCCCTGTGAAAGGATCATTTGACCTCTGAAGGGGTTGCTAGCCACAGGTTGAGAACCACTGGCCTACAGGAACCACAACCACCTATCGAAAACTATAAAATATTACTAGTAACAATGGTAATATATATATAATATATTATATATATATATTTGGGCTATAGAATAGAAATTATACTACTTTTTTTTAAGTTATCAAACTTCAGAAGTAATCCAAATGTATTCAATCTAAGACATTAATATTTTATAATAAGAAGAGAATGAATATATTAAAAGTATCTTGTCAGGAAAGGAAAAGATCAGCAAAGAGAATACTTACATAAAAGGAAAAGCAAAAAATGGGAGTGTCATGGCAAGTCTTGCTGTCAACTCATCAGGAAGATACCACAAGTACACAATTAAGCATGTAAACAGATAAAGAACTGAAGAATAGATAATTAATCTTCCAACCCATAATTTCTGCAATCTCTGATTTTTTTCTCTAAATTCTTCCAGTGCTTCAATTTCCTGTTTAGAGAGAAGTATTCCATATTATTAAATCTCATAAATGAAAGAACTAACATGACAGAAAGATCATATAAGATTCCTAAAATCCAATGAAATTCAATGCTCTAATATTTCAAAGCAAACATAAGGAAAGGAAAACTAAAAATGAAGTTAAAAACTAAATAAGCCTTTCCCAACAAATTATTTTTTAAACTTAAATATTAAATATTATTTTTAATCTATCAAATTAGCAAAGACTGGAGAAGTGAAACAGATATCAGCAAATACTTATTGAGTGAAAAAAAAATTCTCCATATATGGGCTTTAAAAATCTGGCAAGAAAAAAAAAGAATAAAAATTATAACAATGTAGGGTCAGGTATGGTGGTATACACCTTTAATCCTGGTACACGGGAGGCAGAGGCAGGCAGATTTCTCCAAGTTTGAGGCTGGCCTGGTCTAAATAGTCAGTTCTAGGCCAGACAGGCAGAATAATACAGTGAGACTGTCTCCAAAAACAAACAACAAAAAAATCAAAACAGTGGCTGAAACTGCACCATTTCAGTCTATTCACTATTTCCTATAGTCCTAGGGGGGAAAAAATCACTTTTTAAATAAGAGAAAAATGTCAAATCTACAGAATTGTTGCAGACTGATAAAGTTGCACAGTAGCCTGCAACCTTTATTATGATATCTGTTACATTGACTTACACCATGCTAGCTCTAATTACATTCTATTGGGTTCTATTACTTGATATTCTATTACCTGATACAGGCTTTTTAAGTCACTAAGAGACCAGATTTTTTTTTTTTTTTGAGATCATGTAACACTAAAGATCTCAGGATTCCTCTATAATATCTTTAAGTTCCATATCTCTTCTCTAATATAAAATTACTAAAATATTAAATTAAAATACTTTAGAGCCAACAAACATACCTTATCTATATTTTCTAGAACTTCTACTGTTGAAGGTTTTGCCTGTTTTAGAAACAGAAATAAGACATGCATTAAAACTTGTTACTAAAAACACTTTGATTTATAGTCATTAAAACATTTTATTTTGCAACTAGGTTTCTCAATGTTATCAAGCTACATGTCTACCTGTTTTAACTAAAATTGGAAAATTATAAAAATTATAATTACTAAATCTATGTAGGATTTTTGTTTTGTTTTGTTTTTCAAGACAGTTTCTTTGTGTAGGCTTGACTGTCCTGGAACTCGCTCTGTAGACCAGGCTAGCCTTGAACTCAGAGTTCCACCTGCCTCTGCCTCCAAAGTGCTAAGACTGAAGACATGCGCCATCACTGCCCAGGTAGGATTCTTAAAATAACACTTTTTCTAAATCTTTCAACTGTGATAGCTCTATTTTTACCATTCTTAACCTCAACAGAACAGACTTTTATTAGAGAAATAAATTTTCATCCAAAGGGATTCATATACCAAAATATTCACAGACTAAAGACAGTCTAATTCAACAATGCTGAAAGTTCACCTAGAGCTCTGTGTAAGCAACACACTAACTGACTACAACACTGACATACAACAAAGCTCTCCGGAGGTCAAAATCTGTTCATTCTGATTCCTAAAGTACACACCTTGGGAGAGCTGTTTGCTTGCATGCTTGTTTGTTTTGTTTTAAATGTGTATAGGTGTGGGCTTGCATGTATGTCTGTAGACACATGCATCCATGGTGCCCACAGAGGTTAGAAGGGGCACTGGGTCTCCTGGAATTGAAGTTATAGACAGTTGTGAGCCACCATATAGGTGCTAGAAATTGAGCCAAAGTCCTCTGGAAGAGCAACCAGTGCTCTTAACCTCTGAGCTATCTCTCTAGCCCCAAGTACACAGCTTTGTAAAGATTAGTTTTTAAAGACTATCTAAGAATAATTTATAATAGAGATTATTTGCCAAAGGTATTTTTATATAAGCCAGAATGGTTTAAATAACAATTGAGAAAACATTTATCAAGACAATAACAAATGTCAATGCAATAGTGTAGCTGAAAGTTTTTCTGTGCTTGCCTGGTATCAAGGTCCCACAGCCACTTATAAAATTCCTGTGTCCTGCCTGGTCCTGTAACTACTCAGATCCAAGTAAACACACAGAAGCTTATATTAATTAAAACTGCTCCACCATTAGCTCAGGCCTACAACTGACTAGCTCCTACACTTAAACTCAGCCCATTACTGTTCATCTATAAATTGCCACATTTTCCATGGCTTTACCTGTGTGCCATTACATGTGGCTCCCTGGACAGCGGGCTGGCTTCTCCTCACTCTTCCTTCCTATTCCCAGAATTCTTCTCTCTGCTTATCCTGCTGTGAATGTGTTGCTCTGATTGATTGATGAATAAAATGCTGATTGGCCAGTAGCCAGGCAGGAAGTATAGTATAGGCGGGATAAGCAGAGAGGAGAATTCTGGGAACAGGAAGGAGAGTGAGGAGACACTGCCAACTGCCGCCATGAGAAGCAAGATGTAAAGACACCAGTAAGCCATGAGCCACGTGGCAAGGTAAAGATTTCTAGAAATGGCTTAATTTAAGATGTAAGATCTGGCTAGCAAGAAGCCTGAGCCATTAGGCCATAAAGTTTTAATTAATATAAGCCTCTGTGTATTTATTTGGGTCTGAGCAGCTGCAGGCCTGGGCAGAACTGGAGAAAACTCCAGCTACACTATAGTCCCTACAAGAGTTGTTAACATAAGGTTGAACCACACAGCCGGGCGGTGGTGGCGCACGCCTTTAATCCCAGCACTCGGGAGGCAGAGGCAGGCGGATCTTTGTGAGTTCGAGGCCAGCCTGGGCTACCAAGTGAGTTCCAGGAAAGGCGCAAAGCTACACAGAGAAACCCTGTCTCGAAAAAACAAAAAAAACCAAAAAAAAACAAAAAAAAAAAGGTTGAACCACACAAAATTGCCATTTTTGTATGTCAAAGCAGAATACTTGAAGTTCAAATAATTCAACCAAATATGAAAAACAAAGAATAATAAGATTTTTCAGTCTGCCATAGATTTTAAAAGAAGAATCATTTCATTCATCTATTGAATGAAAAAAAGTTGATCCCACAGAAGGAAGGAAAGTTACCAATCTAGGGAAATTGGAGGTAGAAAGCTAGAGGGTTGAAAGATTAGGGGTCAAAGGATACAAAACCACATTTAGAATAAATTCTACAGATCCACACAGCATGATGACTACAGCTTATAGTGATATACTAGATCTTTTTCTGAGCTTTCTCAAAAAAGTTTATTTCAGTTTTAAGTATGCACATACACATGTGTGCCCATGTGTACACACATGAGTACAGGTATCAAGCCAGAAGTGCCACATCCCTGAAACTGGAGCTCCAGGCAGTTGGAATAACTGGACTGGGGTGCTGGGGAACTCAGGCTCTTTGCAAGAGCAACAGGTACTCTTAAAACCTTAACCATCTCTCTAGTCCTCATATACTATATTCCTGAGAAATACTAACAGAGGGAATGTTATTTTTTTCACCACAAAAAATTATAATTATGTGAGCTAATGCATGTTAATTAGCTAGATCAAACAATGTAATGTACATACTTTAAAACATCATGTTACATACGATAAATACATACAATTTTACCTGTGGATTTTTAAAAAAGAGGAAGTCAATTTAATACAACTCTAACACGTAGATTAATCTAACAAACCAAAGGCTAAATCATCACTAGTCTTTATTAGTATAATAAGGAATAAGAAAAAAAAAATAAGGAAATTAGTTTGTCCTAGACTATATTATCTCTTCTTACAATAGAAGAATATTTATCAATATGCTTTATATTTTATATCTCTAAATTTGAGATACTTTCTCTAAAGGTTTAACTAATAAAATCTTCATTTTTAATTTTGTTCAACCTATAACACTTAAAAGCATATTTAGTGATTTAGTGTGACATCAGCAAATTTATCTGACATGCTAAAAAAAAAAAATTACAATTCCTTCAGTCCCAGAAGTAGGAAAGCAGAGGCAGGGCAAATTTCTGTGAATGCAAGGCTACACAGTGAAACCCTATCTCCAAAATAAGTAATTAAATAAATAAACAGATAAGTAAGTTAATAAATAAATTATACAGTCTATAAAAACCATAAATATAAAACTTTTAAATTCAACTACTTTTAAAATAAACTTGGAACTTGGGCAAGATGAGAAGAAAACTACTTGCATAAGATACATAAATAAAAATGAATTACTAAAGACATTAGATACCCATAAAATATACAGAACTACCAAAATAATGTCCAAAGAAGTAACTCTAAATGGAGTTAAATGAAACTAAAAATATAACATTAAACTCACTGAAAAGTACACCCCAAAGGAGATCTTTACAAAAAACTTATGTAACATTTTTATGTTAGATTTGAAAACTTGCAATACAGAAAATATGTTTTCTTACCCTCCATCGAGAAAATAATCCGCCCATCTTTTATTTGTAGAAACTTGGCACAATAATAAATATCATGGGTTGTCCAAAAGAAATCACAGCTAGAAACAAAGCAAATATTTTAAACTTTTAAGTTAAATACCCAACACATTCTCTCTAAAATTTTTATGTTGTAATACTACATTAAAATACCATAAAGTATTTGTTAGCCTCCACTTAAATGAAACTTGAATCCAGATAGCCACTGGTATATTCAAAGTGAGGACATATTTAAAGGTAAAAACAGAGTTGGAAATTTTTAATGACAAACCACTTTAGAAGTATACACATATCTACAGACTTTCTATTTTTTAAAGTAGTTTCCCTATGTTATTCTTGTTATAAAAGAATGAATCCTTCAATAGTTTGAGCCTTAACTACTTTGTTAATTAAAGTGAACAATGTCAACAGTTTGTCACAGAACAGCCTTTAGTGTAAATCACCTTGGAGACATGAAAACCTGATGACAACGGAGTTAGTGATTTGTCCAATAGCACATAAGAAACCTGCCCTAAAGTTCCTCTACCTTCAGACTTCTGGTTCCTATTTCTAAAAACACTACTGTTCAATGCCCAGTTAAGCATGTGTTACTAAAATTCTAAGACCTTCAAGCTGGATATCCTTCATTTCAGCTAACTTTGTATTCCCTTTGTTTATCTATGATTCTTAAACATTGTATAAAGACTCAGAAATGATATCATAAATCAATTTAACAGATAATCATTATATAATTTCTTATTCTTTTAAGTTGAAATGGTAAAATTATACCTTCAAATTGACATGTTTTTATCAGGTTACAAGTATATGCTTATCTGTGTGAAGCTACTTCATTTATACACTTGTACACACACACACTTATTTTCATAGGTATATCCCCCATATCTTAACCATAAAAAATTATCAGCACCCAGTAAGAACTTCAATACTATTTATATATCAGAATTAGCTCAAGGCATACCTATTTTAAGAGTTTCTTTTCTTAGGAAAGTAATGAATGCCTAATTTTTAAAGCACTTTCATGTATAAAGTGATTCTTCAGGACAAAAATATCTGTTCTAAGACAATCTGAAACATACAAACAATTTTATAAATGACAAAAAATTGCAATCACTAATCCTGCAATATTAGCTCAGTATTCAAAATTCTAAAATGTGACAGTGAGGTATTCTGGAGCTCTTATGAACAAAAAGAATACATTTCTGAGACAAGATATTAAAACCTTCTTAAGATTCTAAAAATAGTTACCAAGAAAGGTAAAAGAAAGAGATTCAGCCGGGCGTTGGTGGCGTACGCCTTTAATCCCAGCACTCGGGAGGCAGAGGCAGGCGGATCTCTGTGAGTTCGAGGCCAGCCTGGGCTACCAAGTGAGCTCCAGGAAAGG